CTTGATGAATACACATGTAAATGTGATAACTCATTGAGCAGGTGCATTTCTTTGTAATCCAGTAAGCTTTCTGCGCATTTGGGCAGCCTCTTGGAACCGTTTGATGGTTCTCCATTAATGAACTTTTGAATGGATTGCAGACCTCATGCCTCATCTAAAGGGGCAGGCAAGACTGCATTAATAATGAGTGAACACCTGACATGATGTACATATGTCATTCTCCTGCATCAGAGTATTGATTCAAGGGCCAGCACCTGGAATTTGCTGTGCCATATGGTGCTTGCAATGCCAAGCAAGCTGCTGCTGGCTCAGAGGCAGGTCACGGCCAACCTGTATATTGTAACCGTCAGTTCTCTACCAGCATGCAGCTGCATTGCAGTTCATGAATACTTGCAACAAGAATAACATTTATTTCTTTTTTTTAAAATCAATATCATGAGGGAAATTAAAGTTGGCTTTTCTTTATACATGTATTGGCTCCCACTCTGGAAAGTTGGGAATTTTTTTTAGGGGGGGGGAAGGGGAGGAAGGGGAGCTGCATCATGTCATCCGTCGTGTGTTGATATGCATAACTTCAGTGTGGGCACAGACCTATTTAACAAGGTTGTTGAAAGAACCGTCCATAATGCAAACTCAATGGCATAGCTGGGAGAGGGAGGGAGGCAACTGGCCCTCCTGTGGAAACTCTTCCTTGCCCTTGCCCCTCCTCTCTGAGAGGAACTTGACTACGCCACTGTTTACTACTGTATTTCATTTACACCGCTCTTCCCAAAAGAGATATTCACACGTTGCTACCACAGATCTTCACTTAATTTGATTTGAAAGACATACCCTGTGTCTGTGAAGGTCATTGAACCCTAGCCTACAAAATACTCAGGAAATTTGATGCATTTAATTTCAGATTTCCAGACAAGGCCAGCCTCTCTATTCATGTGACTTCCCATGAGAGTGGGTCTCAGCCTGCAGAAAGCGATAGCGTTGAGCTGGCCAAGAACTTGCACATGCAAAACCCCATGCAGTGGCTGCCTCCCCTGGAAGATCCAGACTCCCAAGAGGCCAACCAGTCACCAGACGAGGTCCAACAAGACACACAGTCATCACACCAAAGACAGGAGGACACTGCCATAGGAGACCAAACCAGCGCAAGCTCCAGGTCCATGCCCTTTCGTAGTCAACCTGTGATTGATTTGACTTCAGCAGAAGGGGACCGCCTGATGAAAAGAGTAGGTCCCTTTGAAGAGGAGTCTGCCGAGAGAATATTCGGTCAGACACTTCAGCAATGCGGGGGGAACGGGAAGCAGCCCAGTAGAAAAAATATGTTGAAGACAAGGGTTCAAAGGGAACCTGGGAGTTCTGTTAATGCCCCTGGCACAGCTGAGACCTCAGGGTCTGCATTAGATACTCAAGCCATTCCAGCCAATAGCCAGCGGGGCCATTTTACCCTGTGTTCAGATGGCAGAGCCCTGAAGTGCAACTACTGCTCATTCATGTGTCGTCGGACCTGTGGTCGAATGATCAAACACCTAAGGGTCCATGGCATCCGGTCTAGGAACCAGTGCAAGTCCTGCGGGCTTGGATTTGTGACCAGGTCAGAGCTGCAGAGCCACCACAATGTTTGCCAGCAGTCGTCCCTCGCGCCTCAGTGCCCTGAATGCGGAAAGACCTTCTCCTTTCGCTCCCTGCTGCGGCAGCACATGAACACCCACCTCAACAAGAAGCTCTACAGGTGCAATAAGTGCCCTATGAGTTTCACATCGGCTCTGACCTGCCAACTGCATTTGCAGAAACAGCATGCAAGCCCAGTGGTAGTTGGGCAGAGCAGTGTGCACCTGTGTAGTCTCTGCCCTGAGCAGTTTGAGAGCAGAAAGGACTTGGACAGGCATCTCAGGGTGCATGCCGTCGAGAAGACCTTCAAGTGCACTCTCTGTAATGAAGGTTTTTCATCAGCATCTACCTGGTGAGACTGCTTTGTGTGGGGGCTTGCTTTAGGAAAAGGAAAAAAATTTCAAGGGGTGTGTTTCGCAGATTGATAACTGACATCATTATTAGCAAATATATGATCAATGTTTTGGCTATTTAGTGCATTGTATTACAGCAGTATTAAAGTCCTGCTGTAGGTTTTGTACAATATTATCTGTACATGGAATAATACGGTACATTGTGTGAAAATTAGTTTGAATTTTCAAGGAGCTCACTGTATAGGCTTTCATTTATATTATTGATATTTTGTGTCTTGCTCCCAGGTCCACTCATATCCGCACTGCACACAGAGCAACAAACTCAAATGATAAAGATGAGACTTGGTCACAGTCTTTCAGGGTAAGATCCGCTGTGACATCCGTCTCTGAGATGTCATCCATTCCTGTCTCAAGACCAGTCATGTCCATGCCAATTGTGGTTTCAGTAAGTAGCCAGAGCAAAGGAGGAAGTTACACGTACAGCAAGGTAGTTGATGAGCCTTCCTTGGTCCAGTCTAAGATGGTTGATGGACCTTCTGAACTGACGGCAGGTTCACCCGAGCTGATCGATGATGGCCTAGACCCAGGAACCAGTGGACTGGTTTACATGAGGAAAGAGTTAAACCCCGAGGTTGACAACAGTCACGGCAGTATTGGAGGGCCATCGGTGCTTCGTTCCTGGTCTGTAAGTGAGTCCTCTGACCCAATGGCTTCATCTGAGTCAGGAGGTATTCAAGTGGTGGAAGGTTCCCAACACTCTTCAGGTAGTTCGCCCTTCTGTTTGAAGAAGGAAGTCTCCAAAGAGGAAGATGAGCACCTTAGCATTTTAGACATCAGCAGGTTAGAGGTTAAAACTGGAAGCACGAGTCAAGGTCAAGAGGAATTGCCTTCCCATAGGTCCCAACAGCAGCTTGAGCCAACCTCGACTGCTGCTGAGAGAGAGGTATTTCCAGTCCACCACCAGCACAGCAATAGTCAGTATACAGCCAGAAGCAGTGACAGTCACCAGAGACTACTGGATGTCGGCAATGTGCTGAGGAGTCCTTCACCGGAGGGAAGTTACGGTAGAAGCACCGATGACATGACAAATGCAGAGTCACCATGTCGAGCCACAAGCACCAGGAGATCACTGGATACCTCAGATAACACTCCTGGATCGTATCACTGCAACTTCTGTGATATAACCTTTGGGGATCCCATTATGCATTACCTACACATGGGGTGGCATGTGACTGCAGATCCCTGGAAGTGCAACGGCTGTGGTCAGGAGTGTGTGGGAAGAGTGGATTTCTTCCTACATCTGTATAAAGCTGGCCATAATTGAACCTGACCAAGGAACTTTGCCTTAGGCTGACTGTACCTCTAGGTACCTGTACAGTGCAAGCATGTTTTTGCGATCACAGTAGTTACTCATTTACATGTCAATTGGTCTGCTTACAATGTACATGTAGCTGTAGATACAGGAATAAATACATTTGGCCAATGTTAAGCTGGGCTTTTGAAGCTGGTAATGACCCAAGCCAAAAGCAAGGGTCATTATAACTGCTTCCAAAGCCCAGCTCTTAAATGGACCAGCCATTCATAAATACCTTTTTGTGTAATCTAGAAAAAGTTGCCCATAAAGTTTGTACTTAAACGTAGCTATTTTGCCATTTTGTGTGCTTTTTTCCTATCCATGTTCACGGACCTGGGTCAAATGATTAGATTCTGTGTCTGTCACTTCATACAGTAAACCAATTTAAATGACCTGAACCAGATCATGGACCAGACTCAAATTGCCATTAGTGATCAAGAGGGTCATTCAGCTACAAACAGAAAGCACAATTCAAAATTCATCAACATCTGAAAGTTGTATATGTCACAGTAACAAGAAGAACACTTTCACATGGAATTGGATTAAAAAAAGAAATACTGTAACTTAATAATTTTGGTAATTGACATTTTCAGTTGTCAGGTACATGTACATTAAACAACTCTACGTGGTGCTTATAATTATGTAAGTATGTGCTCGTGCTTCACATTAACTTGTTAGGCTCGGTCAAGGAGTTTACAATTATTGCTCTGTTTTGATGGTTTTAAATTACATTTCATTTAAAAGTAGTTTTTGGTATAATTCTCTTACTGAAAGTCTCTTTGGGCTTCAAAAACCACACACTTTTGGTGTAACATTTTGGTTTCTTAAAAAAATTTTGATAATGCCTGCTGAAAAGTGATAATGCCCGCTGTGTAAATCACTGGCTGGTACGTGGATATGAGAGTTTAATCAGGTCTGATTGGTCAGGAGTCTGTGTGCACAACGTGCCACTCGTGAACCAAGTTTATTGAAGAAAGAGATTCTATTGGACAACTTTCAAAAGGAACATACCATAAAATGGATGGGGGTGTTCAGGAAAATGAAAGTAAAGTTTTAGAACAAAATGTTTGGAAATCCAGCATATGTTGATTTCTTTGACTCACTGAATAAAAAGGTGTTTATGAATGGGAATAAATACATGTATGTGCTTAGCCAGTTTTAAACTAACGTTTGAGACCTTCCTCAGCAGAATGAACGCTGATAATGCTCTCACCTGTGGCTTGGGCATTAGTCTTATCCATTCTACTGAGCCAGTCTTAAACGCACTAAGACCTTGCTCTGCAGAATGAACGCTGATAATGCTCTCACCTGTGGCTCGGGCATTAGTCTTATCCATTCTACTGAGCCAGTCTTAAACGCACGTTTAAGACCAGCCAAGCACATATTTATTCCCTTTTGAATACATTTCAAAATTGTGACTTCACACCAAATATAAACTGGGGAAAGCAGACATATTGTACATCAACTTTTCAGGCATTTGGCAAGGAGAATACTTTTATTGCTAAGGGAATGAATATGTGATGCTTATTGGGAGAATGAATGTCCATAATGCCCATGCTAAAGGTGAGGGACCTTATCAACATCCATTCTCCTAAACCAGTCTTAAACATTTAAGACTAGCCAAGCACATAATGACTACTCTGAGTGGTAAAATTGAATCTGTTGAAACAAGTTTTGAAAGCTATAAACTTCCAGTGATTTTATTCAACAATTTGACTTCACTTTTTTTCAACTCCCCTCTTGTTGTGGTGTTTCTCTTACACACACTCACAAAGCATATCCTCATATGGAGATGGGCATGTGCATACCACATGATGTGGCTCACAGCAAGCCAGTGTTTCATCAGTCATTTAAGAATGGCCATGTGACAGGCTTTGGACCAATAGGAACGGCTAAGCTCTCTTGGGTATTATGAATTCTTTTGTAATGGTTTTAATTTGCAATTAATTTAAACAATTGTTTGAAACGATCATTCTCTTACTCCAAATTTCCTTGAACGTCAAAACCCACCCATTTTGGTGGAAGTTTAGTTTCTGTGATTGAAATGAAAACATGTACTTTTTGAAATTGTGACGTCACTCCAAGCACTGAATGCAACGCACATGTAGCCTAGAACTGTCATGTACATGTTTACTTGTATATAGGGGCTATGTTTGTTGTTGGCTGATGTTTTATCAGCCATTAAAACCAGCCATGTGATGGGCTCTCGACCAATAGGAATGGGTAGACTGTCTCAGGTATGTATGAACAATTGATTTTGCAAGCCCATTTGCTTGAAAGCTGTTGATATCTGGATGATTTTGGTGTGGTGGGTTTGAAGCAGTCTGGCTAGGGGAGGAACAACATGGACTTTTCCTGAAGTTATTCTCGACAATTTTATGTTGAAAGGAAGGAAATGAAGATCAAAACCCAATACTGTACGTAATCCATCTGTTTATGTTAAGAACCTTGATTTACATGTATACTATTAGCAAGCAATGGCAACTTGAAGGAGTCATTTGAAAAATCCTGAAATTTTCCTGCAACTGGACTTGGGGGCGGGAGACAGACACTTGTTAAATGGTACCTGCTGGTAGTTTGGTTGAAATACCAGCCCGATCATTCTTTCTCTGTTGTGGGGTATATTTTGTCTCAAGTCCAAAGCCACCTCTGATTACACAGCAGTATTTAGTACTTTATGTACATGTGTCAGTATTTTCATGGTATTTTAACTTGCATTGCATTGTATCATAGAGCAGTACATGTAGTTCTGACATGTTTGGGTATGTGTGTTTTATGGAGTTTACTCTTTACCAATAATACGAAGTTTCAGTTAGTAGATGCATTGAAGATTTTTGCAAAGAAACTTAATAAAAGTGTTAAATTATCAAATGCAATTTCAAATGAAGCATCTTGACGAAGGGATAATGCAGCTCTAAACAGTCCACAATCCCTCAATAGGGGAATGATGGAGGACTGTGTAGAGTTAATAACCTACAGGCTTTATGCTAGAAGTGGATGTACACGTAGGGAAGTAGTGGTTTGAGAAAACCGTTGGTAGTGCATACATGTACATTTGCTCTCGGCAACAGAATTAGCTCAGCAAACGCAATGAAAACAGAGGAGAACTGAAAAAAACGTTTACAGATGTAGTTTTCTTTTATTTGAATTTGATGGGATGACCCAGGACTTGATACAGTAGCTTCACTTGATAACTTAGGATGGTGGAAAATGAATTTACAGTGACTCAGATGGTTTTTTGTAAATTGTTTGCGCTCTACAGCCGTAAAGAAAAAGAGGCTTTGACAACCTAGCCACTGTCATTTCATTTTCTCCCCTTGAGTCATTTAGCAAACCTACACTCATATGACTAGTAGTTGGCCTTATATGGGTCTGGCACCTTGCATGCCATATTGTTCCGGTTTAACTCTTGCCAAATCTACCGTGTAAAGTTTTTTATATATGAAGGAGTTGGTTTTACTTGTCTTTCCTGCCCCCCCTTTGGCCTGCCCCATTTTTAAGCTGACTTCCCGTTTCTATTTTCTTGGGGTTTATTGGCCTCCAACCAGGTATTGACATATTTAAAATGTCAAAATTTCCACCCTTACGAGCTAGGGTAACATAGGATATTGTATATGTATCCTGCTTGAATGTTTGGGGTTTACCTTTATCTTTTGGCACCATTTTCTTTGTAAATGGTACAAAGCACAATAAAGGGGGCAATGAGTTACTGTTATGTTTCCCAGATGATTTGACAGTTTTGGCATGCCTTGAACATTCCACAACCAGTTCATGTATGTGAATAATTGTCAAAACAGCCAGTGAAATTTTGTTCCATCCACTTTGACTGAAGAGGGAATAAGAATTTTGAAAGAACATAGAAAGCTCTACTGTTTCATTCAAACCACAGCTTGCATGCTTATTCAAAAGTACAAAATGTTTCTTGGTATTTAAAGAAAGAAATGTATAACCGTCTGGGAAAACCTGCAAACGTGACTGACCTCCGTAATGTGTTGTGTCAAATACATGTTGAATATATAAGAGATTCACTTCAGTAGAAATGTAACAAAGACCAGAAACCACTCCTGATGTTGTAACACAGTGCATTACTTGATCTCACCCTCTCATGAGATCAAAATTAATAAGTTGAAACCTTTATTACAGTTTTGTACTTTCCACATCAGTGTGCTGCCTGCAGTATTAATGTATAATTAAAATGAGTATTTTCTCCAAGTTTTCTTAACTGCATGAAAACAAAGGAATGTCCACACTAGGCATGTAACGTGTGTAAGTGGGTATGTGTGTGCAGGCGTGCCATACATGGTGTAGACCTCTACACAAAAGAAGTCCACATAATGTAGGGTGCGATGGCGTAGTGTGGACTCGCACACGTCCACACAATGTTCACCCCTCTCTGAAAAACAGTTTCAGAGGCATTTTGGGGTCAAGGTTATCGGTGGCAAAATGAAGAGGAAATCACCATCAAAACTCAAGCTCAAAGGAGTTATCCTAGTTGGAGAAAAATGAGCATTTTCCTCAAGTTTCCTTAACCACAGGAGAACAAAGGAAAGTCCACACTTCATATGTAAAAATAGGTATATTTGTGTGTGTCTGGGTGCAGGGGGTGGCCCCAAACCTGCCCTTTGGATCTGCACCTGATGTTGGTTTTATGCGTGCCTTGTGTCACAGAAATCATGCTAAATACAAGGGGACAAAACGTGCATGTAGATTTAGAAACGTGAGACTACAGGAAACCAGGCTGCTGGCCAAAGCTCAAGAGCATGGGACCATTTCTGTTTGTTAGACAGCCATCATAAATTCTAACCCATCCACAGTAGTGGAAAGCACAGGTGAACTACGTAACTCAATTTTTGTATGTTAAGGATCTGTGCAATAGCATTTTTCAAATGAAAAATGAGTGCTTTGTTCAATATTAATGTCCCATTTACCTTTTTTTTTCAGTCTTGCCATTTCTAAGGTTGTATCAGATATGATCATTATTGATACTTGCTATAAAACAAAATTGGAGGAGGGCTGGCTTATTGCTCACATTTTGGGCCTTTTGGGCCAATACAATTAATTTCCATGTTCATGACCAAAGCAGTAAATACTTATATCATAAACATCATAGAGCTTTTGGGGAGCATGATTGCCTTCAGCGTGGTCGAGTGGTT